ATCTATATCTATATCTATATCTATATCTATATCTATATCTATATCTATATCTATATCTATATCTATATCTATATCTATATCTATATCTATATCATCTATATCTACATCTACATCTACATCTATATCTATATCTATATATAATTTGGTAAATGTGTAAATCCCTAAATATTTAAGAACAATCAAACATTTTTAATACTTTACACAAAAATATCAGATGATTACTTACTCTACGATAAACTTGGATTCAAATGTCACATGTTTTCAAGAATGTGGCAAGCAAACGCACCTTATAAATAGCTTATAGCATTGCCTTATCCTCCAGTAATTACATATATGGCTAGACAATCTGCCCACTGCTCAGTAAAGGATGCCATTATGGATGATATGATAACCAGCATGGTTACAGGTTCACTTGCTTATTCTAAGGATGAAAAAGAATGGTGGTAACATGGGAGAGGGGATCACAGCAACTGTTTAACCCTCTGAGCCTTGCTACCAGTCTTTGTAAAGACTAGAGCAAATTTAAATAATAGAAATTCTAAGAACGCTTGCTAGAAGAGAATTCTGAGATTGGTTTAGACAGAAAAAGAAAAAAAAAAAGGAAAAATTAAAAGATGTCTATTCATTCATTCCTGCAAGCCATTGTAAATCCAGCACAAATCTCAAAAACTGTTGACAAACTTGATGTGGTGCTTAAAATAATCTCTTGCTTGTGGCAGCTTCTGCGCAAATATTAATTTTAAAAAAATGAGTACATGGATGGTTCTTAGGAGAAGGTTCACTTTCTGACCTTGAATGCATGTTCAGAACTGTCAAGCGATAAACAGTTACTTGTCATCCACTATTCTCATCATGGCAACCTTGGTTTGTTTTTCCCTTTTAAACTCCAAACTGCCAAAACATGCAAACCAGACTTTTAGGCTCCCTTCCTGCTATTAATCTCCTTCATGAAGCCAACAGTTTCTGGCAGACAATGTTTTGGAAATATTTTGCTTTGAGAGTTGAATATGCAGGGAAAAATCAGAGAGCAGCATGGGCAATTTTCATGTAAATGAAGTTAATCCTTTGGAATTCATCAGACCCTAAACTAGGAGAGTCTTAAAAATATATGAGAAAAGACATTATATTTAATAGGGTGAAAATAGAATTTATCACATAACTAAACCATTTTTAAGGTTAAACTGGTATTAAGAGTATACACTGAGACAAGTTTAAGTGGGAGATATTCCAGGGAACAGAAGCTATACAAATGACATAGTTTAAAGAGGTTTATGATTCAAGATTTAGAACTGATGTTTTGTAATTGTCTTCCTGTTCCACTTAATGCAATTACCTTACATTGCCTCTGATCCAAAGGTAATATGAATGCAACTTCTTCAATGTTAATTTTCCATCAGCAGATAGTTGACAGTTTATGTTCTAGGCATATTTTACACAAAAGTTTGTAATAAGTGTTTTTCATCCTGTTTCTTATTTTATGGAGGAGTTTATTAGTAAAAAGAAAAATGACAAATAGTATTGATGCCATTGTTAAAAGTACTGCTGTTCATCAACTGCTGTTCATAAACTACTTGTTAATTTATAATAACCTAAAATTCAGACTTTTACTGCACCAAGGACTTCAAATTTTATTTACTTAAAATATGCTCTATGTTTTTTATCTCCCTTAAGTGTTTTTTTTTCTCTAATGTGTAAACTGAGGCTTAAAGTATCTCTCCCATATATTTCAGAGTCCTTAAGAGCACAAAGTCAGGTAATGAATGCAAAACTCTTCATGAACTGCATGACATATGTAAATGAAAAAGTATTTCTGTGTGATAATAAACATTTATTTATGTGATTTTTTCCCATGAGGAAAACTTCCTTCATCCTAAAAATTAAGATCAAATATTTGACTCTTTAATATCATCTTTTTAGAAATAAGTGTCTATTTATAACAGAACGGAGCTCTAGTGATCTAGTGGTAAGTAGTTGTGCTGCCAACCCAGAGACAGGCTGTTTGAATTCAGCTCCAGCAACTTGAGAGAAAGATGAGCAACGTCTTCTGGTGTGATTTACTGATTTAAAAAATCTGCTAGTGTGTTAGTTATGAGTCAGTTCCAGCCTGACAATCATGAGAGAGAAGACATGTACACATACAACATGATAACTTCCAGTGCTATAAAAAGAAAAAGTAAATTATTTTTTGTCAGGTCCCCAGTCTTCAATTCCTGTGACAAAGGTACAATTCCTATTACTGATATCTTGTGGAACTTTTCAGAAGTATTCATATCTATTCAACACATACACTCCCCTTTCAAAAGACATGGAAGTTGGCTATACAGTGTTCTCATCCTTTTTTAGCTTAACAATACACCTTGAATGTCGGTTCACAGCACACATATTTACCTTATAATTTTTTCACACAATTGTGCTTCATTTTATTAACTCTCCATGAGGTTTTCAACTTGATTCTATTTTTCCATAGCGTTGTAAATCATGTTTGGTATCATGAGACTTCTAGAGGTCTCACTTCAGTCAGTAGCCTATGCTGGGTATATTTTCAGCCAGTTCTTATAGAAATCTCACCTTAAAAAAGCATTTCTTGAGGGAAAAAAGAGCAGGATCTTTAGAATCTGGGGTTGATACTAGGTGAAGTAAAGGAAGAGCATGATGCTGATTTTCTTATATGGTTATATCTTTTCTTACTTTCACACATTGGAGACAAAAATGAGGCAGGAAATGACAAAAAAAGACACACCCACAAAAATAGCAACAACACACACACACAAAACCAAACCCCGAAAGACCAACCAATATCACAAGGGTATATTATTTGAAAATAAGAAGTATGGTGTTAGAAAACCAAGTTTGTTTTGGATTATTTTCTCTGATAAAAATGAGGAAATATTCTGCAAATATTGCCTATGAAAGCAGTAACTTTTAATTATTTTTATTTTATATTGGTTTGCATACAAAATTCACACATTTTGTTTCATGTTCCTTCACTGACATTGTGTTTTGTACAATCATACAATGTTTTAGAAAATTAATCACCATTGAACTCTTTCCACTATTACCCAGTCTTTTCAGGTCCTGTCTAGTTCTTCTCCATTTCCTTTACCCCTCCTCCCCTCACAAAATGAAAGCAGTAATTTTCAAGCCTCAGCTTGTCACTCTTTCAGTAGGTCATGATGTCAATTTAGTGAGTCATAAAATGTTTGTTTTAAAAAAGAATAGAAAAAAATCAGACTAAATCATGCACAGTATTTTGTGAAATATAATCATGCTTGTCTATCCCCATGTACAGAAACATAAATACATACACGTATATGCTGTTGTTATGTGCCATCAAGTTGCCTGCAACTCATAATGACAATAACTCTGAAGCCTGCATTGTCCTGAGACAGTCTCACTGACTAGACACACTTATCCCCACTACTCCAGTTACTGTGTAAATCCATCTCATCCAGGATATTCCTCTCCTGCATTGTTCCTCCATCATTCCAAGCATGATGTCTTTCTCCAAGGACTGCTCGCTCCTGGCCATGTGCCCAAAGTATGTGAGATGGAGCCTCAAAATCTTTGCATCCAAGGAGAAAAGCTTAGTCTCATCCTATCCAAGACAGACCTGTTTGTTCTCTTGGCAGCCATGGTATGTTCAATACTCTTCTCCAGCAGCACAACTCAAAGGCATCTATTCTTCTTCTATCCGCCTTAGTCATTATGCAACTTTCTGATGCATAGCAGTAATTGCAAAGACCAAGGCCTGGATCAGGTGCACATTAGTCTCAGACTGACATCGTTGCTCCTGGGTACTCTGGAGAGGTCCCTGACAGCAGATTTTCCCAATGCATTTCATCTTTTGATTTCCAAACCACTGATA